AAGAGCTTAAAAAGGGCCCGGGAGGGCGGATCCCGCAGATTTGGTCTTGTTCGGTGCGGTGCACTAGACTGGTCTTCAGTGACTCCTAGACTTGAGTCTCGATACCCTTGCGAGAGCTTTTAGTGCAGCGGGATCCCGGGCGTTCCGGGTCCTGGGTGTGTCGGCTGTCCAGCCTGCAGCCGGGGTCCTCCGCAGCCGGTCTGGAGGGACGCACCACAGCCCTGCGGGGATGGAACGGACCGAGCTGCTGAAGCCACGGACCCTGGCCGACCTCATCCGCATCCTGCATGAGCTCTTCTCGGGCGACGAGGTCAACGTGGAGGAGGTGCAGGCTGTGCTGGAAGCTTACGAGAGCAATCCTGCCGAGTGGGCTTTGTACGCCAAATTCGACCAGTACAGGTGAGCGTGCCCAGGCTTCTGCAAAGCTAGGTCCCCACAGTTGAAAGGGAGCCCCCGCCCCCCGCACCACTCAGGTTTTCTGCTCTCCGTCTCCCGCAAAACCCCTCCACCCTCGCCCCCAGCCTCCAACACAGCGACACCACACCACACCTCCGCAGCCGTCTCTGGCACAGCACCACGGGACCCCTCTGCCACCTGGCACGCTCAAGCTCCCTGCCCAGCAGCCTCCTGCGACTGACCGCAGACGATCGGAGGGCGCCCCAGGAGATCACCCTACCAACCATCAAGAAAAGCGGGGTGGTGGGAGACACAACCCCAAGTCAGTCCCCCGTCACCAACAACCCTGGAACGCTTTAGTGTAAAACATCGGGCGGCTTTTGCGAGCTGGTGCCATCCAGTTCTTCCAAGCCATTCACCACCCGGACTGAGGGTTGGCTCGCCCACTGTCCGATTTTGTAAATTGGGCACACCGCTGCTTTTGCCGCCACCCAAGCCTTTAGCCTCCCCTCTCCCTTGCTTCCCAGAATCTGGAAGGGAAAACTAAATAAAGACCACTTCTTTCCGGACCTGCTGGAGGGAGGTGTCCGGCAGGCTAGGACCTTTGGAAGCCTTGACTTAGGGATTAACTCTGCGCGATCGTCAGCACTCCGGGGCCAGAGGTTTTTGTGTGGAAGAAGGAGCAAGCTTCAGTGCTTGTGGCTGATAGATTGGCTAGTGAGAGGAAGCTGGCTGGAGGAAAGGATGACAGAGAATGGGACTTTTCCTCGGAAGTCGTCTCTCCTTAACATGTAACATGTACAATAAAGTTCTGCCAGCAAGGACCGTTTTAACTGTATTTTGGAACTTCAAGTAGTAAAAACCAAGGACAAGTAGGGTGGCATTTTGTGTTTGGGAAGTGGTCTTAAGCAGTCGCCTTTGATTCTGGACACTCAGTTCTGGGCTGGGTCCTGCAAGGGTACCCCTGTCATGTCTGCTTAAATGCTGGCAAGTAATTGCCAGTTTGTGGGCCAAGTGCTCCTCCAGTCACTTCACACAGTACTGAAACAAAAGCTGTTCTTATTTCAATGTTACAAGCAAAGACCAGCAGGAAAGGAGTTGGGTAGCCTACACTGTGATGATATATTGTGTACCTCAATAAAGCTTACCTGGGGATCAGAGGACAGAGCCAGGCACTAGATTAGACATAGAGATCAGACAGTGGTGGCACACACCCTTAATCCTATCACTCGGGAGTCAGAGATCCGTCTGGATTTCTGTGAGTTCAAGTCCACACTGGGCTACATTAGAGAAACAGAACCCGGCAGTGGTGACACATGCCTTTAATCCCAGGAAGTAACATGGCAGGACACAGAAAGGTATATAAGGCACGAGGAAACAGGAACTCAATCTCTTGAGGCTGAGGCTGAGGCGTTCATAGCGCTAAGCTAGTGGTTGGCTATTCTGCTTCTCTGATCTTTCAGCTTTCACCCCAGCATCTGGCTCTGGGTTTGTTATTATAAGACCTTTTAAGATTCGTGTTACAGCACACAAGGTGTGCTTCCCCATTATTGTCTGGGAGCCTGCAGTGAACAAGGCCATCCGCAGCTCCTTTGGCCTGAAAAACTTACATAGCTCCATATATGTAGATGTATAAAATAAAAATCAAATATTTGCTGAAAATCAACCATATTTTTCTAATTTGACATACATATAATTTTATCATTTATTAAAGAGTAAAGGAAATATGCATACTCATGAGGTAGATTGCTTGTTTATCTTTTACATAAAGAAATCTTGGTTGCATTATTTGTTAGTTTGATTTTACATTTGAAGGAAAGATTATTAAGCATGAAAAATAACTGATGCTTGCCCTTGGGAAATGGGGGTAGGCAAACCTCAGCTGCGCTGTGAGTTCACAGCCTGGGCTACGTGAAAACTCCACACCAGCACCATGGCACACACATGCCCAAACACACACATAACATACACAACAATAACAAGTGTAAAAAACATTGCTATGGAGTCGCGCGATGCCACAGGCACGTGCTTCCAGTTACCAATTTATTGCACAATACATTTTATTAGGAATTAATTTTTGGCTGTACATTCAGAAATCTTATACTGTTCCAATTTTCTATGATCCCACATTCCACTGTGCAATGCAATGTGCAATTTAAGAAGCTGGGCTGTAAACCACCATGCAACTTCCTCTAGGCCTGGGACAAATTCTTTTGTTACAGCAGCATGGGAGACATAGCATTGTCCGAGTGAAATTAACCAGGTCTGGTGCGACAGCTCCTGCCCTCTAGAACAATAGCATTGCCCGGGATTTCTCCCTTGATCCAAGGCACAGCTCATTAAGATAAGGGTGAAGTCCTGGGTGGGACACGGGTGGACTATAGAGAGAATAAGAAGAGAGGGAGACAGACGTGAATTCTATAGCATTGTCCTTGGTGCCCAAAAGGATTCCGATCTGTGATCTGGGGTTTGGGAGCAGGGCTATGGGTATTTCAGTATATACAGACAGTGAGTTCTCTGGAGAAGTGGAGTGTGAATACAGGAACCCTGTTTACTGTGGTTTAAAGGCTGTGTGTACAGCTCCTTCCTAGGTCATAAGAATTAAAGTATAAGGGGAGACTAACAGCTAAAAGGAAAATAATAGTGCTTGGCTACTCACTAGAGACCCATGTCCTGCAAGCATCCGGCCCTGAGCCTGGGGGATGGTAAGAAGGACAGGACGAGAGGACAGCTGCATGGAGAGCCTGAGTTAACAGATGACTGAGTAAACAAACATCACCAAAACGAATGGACACAACCCTTCCTTACCCGTGACATCGGCAGTCGGAAACGAATGTCACAACTGTCGGACATTGCCGACAACAGAACCATGTGGACCAAATTACTGCTTAAGAGTTCGTGTGTCCCTTAGGATAGCTGTTTGGGTTTTGACTTTTTTTTTCTTGTAAATTATCATCGTAAAAGGTTTAGTATTCTGACCTAATGTAGCCTTGGTTCTGGTATTTACTTCAACCCCCTGCTTATTTGTGCAGAACTTTTCCTGATGAGTGCTTTTGAATGTGTTTGTATTAGGGCAGAGTTCTAGAACAGTCCTTTAATGAAACTTCGGTCCTCAAAGCCTAGAAGGGAAAAAAAGCCCCAAACAATAGCAACATTCTTTTCTGGAGTAATAATGAACTTTCTAAATACCTTCCGTGAGAATGCTACTTTTTATTAGTTTGAGACTGATAAGCATGGAGAAATATGAAATTTGGATTACTTTTTCCCCTCTTATCTTTTCATGCTGGTGGTAAAGACTGAGCAGATACCTCAGTAAAGTCAGCAAATCAAAATACAGAAAGGTCTTGTCATTCTGTCTAGACCAGGAAAAGTACACAATGCAGAAAAGTCAGAGATGAGCCGTGAAAAAGTTCTCATTTGTTCTGGGCTCTGAATGTGAACACTATGTTCGGGTTTTATCGGGGTAGAATTTGGGGTGGGATTCCTGCTTCTATGCCCAGTAGGGTAGGTCGTCCACTGTGAAAGACTGAGAGCAGCTAGGCCTTCACCCGGCATCTGCCATTCCTGGGAATCTATCTGGAGGCTAAGTACTGCTCTCTTTAAATAATGCCTCCCTTGTTTAAAAAAAACAAAAACAAAAACAAAAAAAATGCATACTGAAGCGGCTCACAGCTTGTTTGGGCTAAAGGAAGCAAGCTGGTGCTCATTTTTAGACGGCTTTGTGAACAAAACCGAACTATAGATTTAATTCAGGAATACACGTTAACATTAAATGAGTCTGAACTATTGATAACAAGAGAAAAGAGGGTTAGCATAAGAGCTTTTATGGCTCCATGTTTTGTCTTTTCCTTGACAGTTTTTGTTGTTGTTTATTTTTTGGGTTTTGGGGATTTTGTTTTGTTTGTTTTGTTTTTGTTTTTCTGAGACAGGGTTTCTCTGTAACCGCCCTGGCTGTCCTGGAACTCAACTTTGTAGACCAGGCTGGCCTCAAACTCACAGAGATCCACCTGCCTCTGCCTCCCAAGTGCTGGGATCAAAGGTGTGCGCCACCACACCTGGCTCCTTGGCGGTTTTTGAAAAGATGAAAATTTGTTTAGTTTGGTTTTAGGTGTTCTTGTTGCTTTTTTTGTTTTGTTTTGATTTTACATTTCCCTTATTCTTGTTTTGTTTTTAAAAGAACAAACCCCAAGGCCTACAAATGGCTACTTAACTTTTACATTTGAATGAAAGATTATAAAACAGAAAAAAAAAAGTAAGGCTGAGCATAAGTGATGCTTGGAATCCCAGCACTTGGGAGGTGGAGGTAGGGGGACCAGGAGTTTAAAGTCATCCTCAGCTGCACTGTGATTCACAGCCTGGACTACATGAGACCCTTGTTTAAAATGATAATAATCATAAATAAAATAGTAGTAAAATATTTTTATATTTTAAAATAGTAAGTAAAATCATAGTAAATGATACTTTTTCTAGTGCTTATCTCAGCAGTCAGATGCAAACCAGCATATGTTTGTCTTTTTAAGGTACACTCGAAATCTTGTGGATCAAGGAAATGGGAAGTTTAATCTGATGATTCTGTGCTGGGGTGAAGGACATGGCAGGTAATACACCAGCTCCCACACTCCAGACATTCCCTGCCGGTGTTCCTCCCTCGGGGCTCCTCCCACCATTGGGGTTCCTCCCACCTCAGAGCTCCTCCCACCCTCGGGCTCCGCCCACCCTCGGGGATTCTGTCCTACTTTTCTTTGATACATTTGTGGTTTGGCTGGGCATGGTGGCACACACGTTTAATCCCAACATAAGAGCAGAGGCAGGTGGATATCTGAGAGTTCGAGGTAGTTACCAAAAGCCATCGGTCACTACTATGAAGTAACATTTTGGTGTGTTTGTGATACTTTGTCCCCGAAGTTGAGGTGTACTCTCTACTAAAGTGAATATGTGTGATACTTTGTCACCGAAGCTGCGGTTAGATACACATTGTTTTCTATTTTGCACATTTTATCAGCTTCTTAAACTGTTAACTTTTTATGATATGTTTTTAAACAGGTATTTAATAATCTCAAGATTCAATTAGTATTAAGTTATGGTGTACACAGTGAGTTCTAGGACAGTCTGGGCAACGTAGTGAGACTCTGTCTCAAAATAAATATTTTAAAAATAGATCTGTGTTTTGCAATGCTCGGAATCAGATGCACGTCTCATGTTACTAAGAGAACACTCTACGGTCTAACACGAACTACACCCCAGTCCCATTCAAGGTAGTTCTTAGCACCTGTCCAGCATGTGAACAGTAAGAGTGCCAGGTTGCCACCAACTTCACAAAAAACTAGCAATTCACAGTTTAGAGTTCGTTGTTTACATTGTCCACTAACCTCAGCATGGAGTTTGTCTGGGGGTGGGTGGGGGGAGTCAGGCATGTACTGTGTACATTAAAATCACACCCACCACACCCACACACCCCCAGCCAGCATATGGCTCGGTGAATAAATGTGCTTGCCACCAAGCTTGATGATTCTCTCCAATTACTGGAATCCAGAGAGAAAACCAACTCTTACAAGTTGTGTACACACACACACACACACACACACACAGAGAGAGAGAGAGAGAGAGAGAGAGAGAGAGAGAGAGAGAGAGAATCAAGAAATAAACAAATAAATAAAAATTGTAAAATAATAAAAAAAAAATTCCTCCACCCCAAGTGAGTACTAATTCAAAGGAGGCGAATAGTTACCTTAATTCAACTTCTCTGTCTCTTATGGAGTTAAATTGTTTTGGGAACTCTGCTTAACCCTGACCTTTGACCTTTGCGATATGTGAGATGTGTCAACAAACTGTGGGACCAAAGACCAAACTGGCAAGATTTGGAGCTAGAAAAACATGTCACAAATTCAGGAAACTTCTGTCTACCTCTAGTTAATTGTTCAGCTCCTTTACCAGGAAGGCAATTTACACCAACCCCAATACTTGTAAAATGTGTTTCCTTGTCTTTAGTTTGTACATGTGTTACTAACTGAATAATTCTGTATTTTTAAACAGATCTCTCAGGTTTTTTGTCAAAAAAATAACCAGACCCATTTTTGGTGAGAGAAAAGAAATGCAAAATTACAAGTCTTTTTAGGTACACTCGAAATCTTTTGAGTGTGGGATCTATGGGGACATTGCTTGATGAAATGGGGTAGCTGTCAGTCATTCTCTCAGTAGTTTTTAAAAACAGATTAGCAGGGTTGGGGTTAGAGTCTGTGGACTCAGGAAACAGTTCCTTTTATGATACATTGAAACATTAACAGAATTCAATGGGATAGAAATGCTAAAAATTATATACATTTATATGTTTTAATCAACCTGGTCACTGTGATGATGACTTTATATACCTAACTACTCTTTGCTCTAAGATCACATGAGTAAATTCCTTTTCACTTAATATGCAGTTTGCTTCCTCCCACCAATATTGGAAGATCATCACAGGTAGGCCACTCTAAGATTATCACAAGTAAAAGCTACTCCTGTAAGACGGTAACACTATGTATACCTTACATCATCATTTCAGGGTGACAAGTATGTATATGCACACACATACATTCTCCCACCCACACAAAGAAGAAAAGAGGAAAAGCCTGTGGGAAAAAAACACAAACTATTAAATGATTCCACTGTGATACAATTATTAAAAATTACTATATTTGTTCTTTCAAAACTTTCTTTAATGAACCCTTCTCCTGTGTACATATGCGCGCGCGTGTTTGTGTGTGTGTGTGCGCGCTAGTACATCATACACAAGCATGTATGCATGTGTGAGTGATGCCAGAGATAAAAATCCAGGACCTCATATAGTATACAAGCACTCTTCCACTTCTAATATTCTTTCATTATCAAGTTCTAGCACAGTTGAGATGAGTTATTAAATGCTGCACTTTTCTGGGCATGGTGTCATGTCTGTGATCCCAGCAATCCTGTATTCCTCCCTTCTGAGAGGAAGTCATGAATTCTAGCCCAGTCCTACCTGCATGATGGGGTCTGTCTCAAAGACAACCATAAGCAAAACAAAAAGACAAAAGCAAAAACAAGCAGACAATCAAAAAACTGTGTTGGGGGAAAAAATAAAAGGAAAAGTTTCTGGGTTTGTTTTGTTACCAGATTACAGTTACAACATTTTCAAAAACATAAGCTGCTCCTTAGCGGGAGCTTACATCTAATCTGTAAGTTACATACCTTGACATGGATGGCATGTAGTTATTGTGCCCAGAACAATGATGCTGAACTGTAAACTGATAGATGTAAAACACAGCAACTGAAACAAATTAGGTCCTGAGAGCTTCTTGACCGTGTATCGGTTTCAGCTCAGTCCATGGGGGTACTGGACCAACCACTGAGTTCATTTGTCATTTTGTGCATATATAGCAGTATTCACGATCACACGGACTCCCACTGCTTTTTGAAGATGCTGCAAGGAAACCTAAAGGAGACGTTGTTTGCCTGGCCTGACAAAAAATCGAATGAGATGATCAAGAAGTCAGAAAGAACCCTGAGGGAAAACCAGTGTGCCTACATTAACGGTAACACCCTATTCTGTGTCTATGAGCGCATAGGAAAAGCTGAAGTCTTATCTGTGCATGTTGATGGAAAATAGTTGGAATATGGCCTAAACACAATGAGTTTCTAAGGCTTTAAAGCAGGGTTGGAATCATTCATTCAAAACATATGCATGAAGATTGTCGTTTACCTGCCAAAACTTAGAACAGAGATGGTGGGATATGAATTTATACAAAACAGTTGGGTCTACATGGGAAATGTATAGTGTGTTTGTATTAGAAAATGCAAGGACATGTTCTGGAAGTGATTAAGAACATTGGCTAGTGCCCATTTTTCTAAACTGCATACAGCATACCTAAAAGACTTTTCTCAAGGGGAATTTTGCAATATATACTGTTGGGTAATGACTTATAGATACCTTACCAAGAATTTGTTCTTTCCCTAATGTCTGCTGGAAGAGCCAAATGCTCCCCAGGAGAGGCACTGAATTTACTTCTATTTCTAAAAAGGATCATAACTTTCCAAAAGCTCATTAAAACATATGAGAGTCATAATTTTGTTCTCATTTATAGATGAGATTGCCAGAACATATGAAGATTAAATAACTTGTCCAGAGTCACTCAGCTTCTAAACATTGAGCCAGTATTTGAATCCATGCAGTTTGAGCCCAAACATATGCTTTTAATCAGGATGCTGTCCTGCTTATATAAAATAGAATATTACAGTTTTTTTCCCTGGCAAACACACCACCTCCTTCATATATCTTAAAGTCTAGTGTTGGCCTTGCAACTTGGCTCAGATTTATTAGATTATTAGTTTAGGAATGCAAATCGCTTACAAAGATCAGATTGTATGGGAAATGTTTTCTCTTGTGCTCACCTCACACGAGTGTGTGGGTTTCCTCTGCAGACATTTCGTTTTCTCAAATATTTGAGGGTTGCTATACAGAAGGTACACCAGCTCTGTAAGAACAGACTTGTCACTGATACCAGAGCATGGTAAAGCTAAAAGCCTCTTAGGATAATTACTTTCAGCTGGAATCAGAGTCCTTGAGAACACACATTCCATCTGGAAAAGAGCTTTGGGGAGGGCGGGGGGGGGGGGGGCCGGGGTGGGGGCGGGGGTGGCAGCTCAAGTGCAGAAGCCTGGAGCAACCACGGGCACAGTGAAGGTGGATGCAGACCAGGGACAAAAGGTTTTGGTGAGGATCCGATGAACACTAAAGGGACAGCTGTGGCCACCAACCCCAGTGAGAGAGTCCTGATGCTTTTTCCATAAAAATGTGAGATTCTGATTTTTAAGCCAGGCAGTGGTGGCACACACCTTTAATCCCAGCACTAGGGAGGCAGAGTCAGGCAGATCTCTGTGAGTTCGAGGCCAGCCTGGTCTACAGAGCAAGATCCAGGACAGGCTCCAAAACTACACAGAAAAACCCTGTCTTGAAAAAAAATAAAAATAAAAAATAAAAAAAAATTTGATTTTTAATGTTAATTTTTACCAATTGGTAAAATGTGGGATGAGCCATGCTGAATATTTTTGTAGACTAATTACTGAAATCTGTTAAAAGCTTCCCAACCACTGATTTTCACAGATTAAGGATGGACATGGATATGATCAGGGGGAGGTTCCCAGTCCAGGGAAGGGCACAGTCCTTGTAGAGAATGGAAACTTGAGGAATGGGGGCCACTGGAATGAAGAAGGAAGATAGAGTGGACAGGAGGTATGAGGAGACTATAAACACGATTAAGACACAAGCCTCCAGGAGCAGGAGAAAGATGACCTGCCCCCCCAACAGAGCTGTACTTGGGAATCTCTTTACCCATTTGGTAGCAACATACAACATAGCATGGAGGCGAGAGGAGAGCTGGAACAGAGGCCCAGGAGCCTGCTTCAATTGGGAAAAGGTCAACAGGACCTTGGTAAAAACCACCAAGAAAGGTCTAGTATGACTGTAACAGAAGGTGTACAGACACATAAGGGAGACAAAGGCAAAGATTAAAATGCTGAGACTATGAACAGTGAGGCCCACGTATGGACCTTGAGCTCTTCTAAAGGATGGGTCACTTGATCTGAGGGCCTTTGGCTCTGGGATTGTCCATCATGAGCTGGTGGGTATGGGCCCCTACAGTTAGAAAAGCCAAACAGTATTTGTATGATGCTCATTCAAAATTGTGCATAAGCAGGTGCTAGATCATCTTGGTTTTATTAATGCAAAGTGTTAGCATGCCACGTAACTCCAACACTCAAGAGGCTGAAGCAGGAGGATTTTTTTTATTTTTTATTTTTTTGTAAGTTTGAAGCAAGCCTGGACTACATAGTGAGTTTAGTGTCAGCCTTGGAGACACAGAGAAATCCAGAAGAGAACATTGGGCCAGGCATAGTGGCACATGCCTCTAATCCCAGTACTAAGGAGGCAAAGGCAGGTGGATCTCTGTTACTTCAAGGCCAGCCTGATCTACAATGTGAATTCGGAAAGGCGCAAAGCTACACAGAGAAACCCTGTCTTGAAAAAAAAAAAAAAAAAAAAACAGTAAGAGGGGGGAGGGGCAGAGAGGAGGGATTAGTTTGTTTGTTTGTTTGTTTGTTTTTAATCTTCCTGGACATAGTTCTCCCTGTCTAGATGGGTTATCTCTAAGCCAGGACTCACTGTCAACTTACGAGTACCCTGGATGTTATCTAAGCCTTCCCTTTGCTTTTTCCTGTGTTGGAGTTTATTCCCTGAACTCATGTTTTCTTTGTTCTTGGTTCACAGTCTTGTTTGGGTAAGCATGTCTTCAGGTGTCTCTTTATGAAAGGAGTCATGGACGGTCAATTTTTGAGACTTCCTAATATCTAAAAAAGAAACAAAAACAAAAAAAACATATATTCAAATCTTATAACTTGATAAATAAATCAGCTGGATTTGGATTGTGACCTGTCAATCATTGTCCCTCAGAAGTCTGTATCTTGATCTTTTAGTGTATCCTGCTCCTGTTCCTGTTGAAAGTCATGGTCATTCTGTTGCTTAACTCTTTCTCTAAAAGATCTTCTGGAAATGTCTGGAATCTTCTGGTGTGGTGCCTGCATGCTGTCCCATGGTGCCTCACAGTAATAAGGTCACCTAAGGACTCATTGTTCTGCTGGGTGCCTGGTTACCTTCAGCTTGGACACTTGTGCCCATCAATCCACGAAATATTTTCATGTCGTGCCTGTGGGTCGTGTTTCTGAAAGGCCTCTTGTTTGGATATTAAGCTCCCTGAACATGTCCTTTGATCTTTTTCTCTTTGCTATTATTTTAATCTTTGTCCTTTGATTCTTTGAATCTACCTCCACTTTTTCTGCCAGCCCTTCTGTTCAGGTTTTGTTTTATTTGGCAATCCTCCTGCCTCTGCTTCTTGAGCATTTCTTACAGGCATGCACCACCACATCCAGCTCTCTTCCTACTTTGAGAAGCCTTTTTGAGTGTGTAGTTCAGCTGGTAGGGTGTTTGCCCAGCATCATGCACAAAGTCCTGGGTTCAATCCCTAGTCCCACATAAAGAAAACCACCCCGAACTTGGGAGGTGGAGAAAGTTGGATCAGAGGTTCAAGGTGACCCTGGGTTGCATGAGATCATCTCTCAAAGAATAAATAAATAAAAACAAAAATTGTTTTGATTCCTGCTCCCCGCTGGGTATTTTGTCTCAGGAAGAATGCTAAGAATAGACTTTCCCAGGTCTTCTCAGTGTCGTGTTTCAACTTGCTTTTCCAGGCTGCTCAGGCCGCCCTCTGTCTTCTGTACTAGAGGCTAACTCAGTTGTGTGCTCATGTGTAAAATCCAGGGACAAAAAAGTTCACTGGTGGCTTTGTACACAGGACGGGGCTTGTTGACAGGATCTCTCTCTGAGGGTCAGGCAGGGCCCTTTAGCAGAGAGGTGCGGGAGGCAGGATGGGGAAGGGCTTGTCTATGAGCTGGTGAGACTCCTTACAGAGTCGCTTCCATCTCTGCCTGGAGAAAGAAGTCTTGGGTGACGCTGGCAGGTCAGGAAAGCAAGACCCTTGCCATTCACACGTGATTCTTGTTTCATTCACTTGCGTTTAACCTGGTATCCACCAGTCCTGAGCTCAGCCATGGTGCTCTTTTCAGTTCTGTCTTCTCCTGGGGTGGGAAGCATGGAGGGGAGGGAAATGGTGAAAGGGAATTTGAGACCCTACTTCCTAAACAGCCTGTCAACCAGTCAGCATGTTTAGTCCGTCGTGCTTGGGACTGTCAATTCCTGAGCTATCTGAGAGTTTCGAAATAGAGTTTCGTTCTTGATTTTCCCCCTGAATAGTTTAGGACTTTGTTTTCTTTTCTTTTTTTTCTTTTTCTTTTTTAAATGAAACTACCTTTTAAGCTTTCAAGTTCTTATAAATGTTTTCTTTCTCACTATATTGTATCTAGTTTTAGTTTCGCTGCAATGTGAAGCCATTTGAAGTAAGGATGCCTGCATGGCCCTTACTACCCATAACAAGCAAATTAATTCTAATGTGTATTCATTCCATAGTCATCACTATCAGTGAAAGA